AGGCGTCCTCCTCTAGGCAAGTATTCTAGGAACCCACCCCAGCATCAGTGTATTGCTAGTGTTATCGTCAGAGGCTGCATTCGACTTCAGTGAATTTTTTTTGTTTTTTTTTTTTTTGGAGACTCTTTCAAAGCCTTTGCTCATTTCAGGATGGGTGATTTACGAGCACACCTGCCTACACCTTGCTGACTGTCCAGCTGTTTTTGACCAAAAGCAGCATGACCCCCGCGCCCTACCCTCCCTATTCACTCGATCTTGCCCCAAGTGACTTTTCTTTGCTTCCCCAATTTTTTTTTTTTTTTTGAGTCGGAGTCTCACTCTGTCGCCCAGATTGGAGTGCAGTGCCCGCTCCCGGCCACCGCAGCCTCGACCCGCTGGGCTCCGGCGATCCTTCCGCCTCAGCCCTCCGAATAGCCGGAATTACAGGTATGTGCCACCACGCCCGGCTGATTTTTTGATTTATTGTAGAGATGAGGTCTCGCTGCCCAGGCGGGTCTCGAACCCGTGGGCTCAGGCAATCCACGCACCTCAACCTCCCAAAGGCACGGGATTACAGGCTGAGCCACAGAGCCCGGCTTGCTTCCCAAATTTAAAAAGCCCTCAAAGGAAAAGGTTTTGCCAATGTAGAAGAGGTGAAACAAAAAACAGAAATACCTAAAAGGCATCAAAATTGATGAGTCCAAAAACCGTTTTGAGCAGTGGAAGAAGTGTCTCAATAGGTGTATTGCATCAAATGGAGAGAGTGACTGAAGTTTAAACAAGAACAAATATATAATTTCTTATAAATAAATGATGTATATATACATATTCAAAAAATACAGAGGCAGTTAAGGATGCTGAATAAAAATAGATTATTCTGAGAAAAAAATAAAAGCAAGATTCTCTGAAATTAGAACAAAGAACAAGATAGAATTTTTGGAAATTAAAATATGATCATATAAGATAGTCAACAGAATGACTGTAAAATAAAGTTGAAGCAATAACTCTAAAATACAAAAAAAAAGAGACAGTTAAAAACTAAGAATCATTTTTAAAAATTAGGAGAGCTAGCCAGGCTCAGTGGCTCAGCCTGTAATCCCACGCCTTTGGGAGGCTGAGGTGAGTGGATTGCCTGAGCCCGTGGGTTCGAGACCCACCTGGGCAGGCGAGACCTCACCTCTACAATAAATCAAAAAATCAGCCGGGCGTGGTGGCACATACCTGTAATTCCGGCTACTCGGAAGGCTGAGGCGGAAGGATCGCCAGAGCCCAGCAGGTCGAGGCTGCGGTGGCCGGGAGCGGCCACTGCACTCCAGTCTGGGCGATAGAGTGAGACTCCAACTCAAAAAAAAAAAAAAAAAAAATTAGGAGAGCTTTAAATACATATAACATCTGAGACCAATAGGAATTTTAGAAAGGGAAACAGAGAGTGCAGAGGGCAGAAAAGCAGTGAAGAGATAATTCAGGAAAAGCTCCCAGTACTGAACTTCAAAGTCTCTAGATTTAAAGCACACCTAGTTCCAGACACACTGAATGTAAAAGGCGCATCCAAAGCAGCGGACAAAGGGAACTTCCCAAAATAGCTCATGCACCAAGAAATGAATTTCAGAAAAGCACTGGATTTCCAAACAGCAAAACTAGATACTAGAAGACTGAAGAAATGCCTTCACATGTGGGGGAATCATGACTTTCATCCAAGGATTCCACACCAGGCCAAACTTCCAATCATATTTGAGAAACTCATAAAAGTATTTGTAACATGCAAGCATCCAAAATATATAATTCCCAAACCACTCTTTTTTAGGAAAGTACTGAGAGAGACACTTCAACAAAACAGGAGAGTTAAAAAAGAAAGAGGAAGAAACAGGATGTAAGAAACGGAGACAACTGGAAAAGAAGCAAAGAAAAGTTCCAGGACAACAGCTGTGCAAGCAGACCTAAAGTGAAACCCAGTGCACATTGCAGCAAGCAGCTGAAGGAATGGGTGTCCAGGAAGACAACACTGGGAGTACTTGTCATGTTTGCCCATGTAGAAATAGTACAGAGAGGGCTTTTATAATCCTTTTTAAATATTTAGGGAAAACTAAGTAATAGGTACATAGGAAACTAGGAACACACACAAAAAAGAAGGCAATTACAAACCCTAAGAAAAACAAAACGGTCTATGAAAAAGGAAAGGTAATCAACATTGAACAATAATTACACAGTGATAATAAAGTAAACATTGAATGTTGACTCAACCCAAAATTTTGCTGGAACTATATTGGCAGGTTGGTAGACAGGGAAGAAGAGGAAAGAAGAAAACTAAATTCTCAACTATCACAATGGAAAATCAAATACCTTAAGAAAATTAAAAGTGCAAAAGTGGTTGTTTTGAAGGAACAGAACTAGGGGTTGCAAAAGGGTAGGGTAGGAAATTTGTTTTTCTCTATGCGTTTTTTCAGCATTATTTTATTTCATAAACTATTTTGACATCTGATACTGAAGATCGTAAATATAAATACAAAAAGGAATTAAACTAATTTTAGAAAGAAATCAGGCTACTGTAAAAAAAAATTAATAAGTTTCATATACTTAAATATAGCCAAACTAGATTATTGCAGCTAATCTTAGTAAGAAATTAAAATGCAAGTTCGGCTATTTCTCAGAAAATATAGCCTGAACAGCCATTTAAGAAGGATTAGGATTAGGGTGGCTCACACCTATAATTTCACCATTTGGGGAGGCTGAGAAGGGAGGATTGCTGGAGCCCAGAAGTTTAAGACCAACCTAGGCAACATAGTGAGACCTTGTCTCCCACCAAAAAAAAAATTTTTTTGTTGACATTAGCTGAGTGGGGTACACGTGCCTGTCTCAACTCTCAGGAAGCTGAAACGGAAGAATAGCCTGAGCCTAGGCGGTCAAGGCTGCAGTGAGATGTGAGCATGTCACTGCACTGCAGCCTGGGTGACAAAGTGAGACTCCAGGTCCAAAAAAATTAAAAAATGTTGCTCTGATTTATACATATGCTATTTGCTAAGAAATTCAAACACACAATTTATAATAATTTTCACTAACATACAAAGTTATAGCAAATCTTAAGGTTAAGCAATGTGTGTCCAGGATGAAGATTCACAATTATTTGGTCTCTTTTTTTTTACTTCACATAGCTTTGGTTTGTAAATATTTCCAAGAAATTTTGTAATGAAAGTTATCTATAGAATTTGTTTTAGGTTTTTGTTTTGTTTTTTTTAACTGCTATAGGATGTCTTACTTATAAAAACCTGGACCATTTGTTTTGTTCCTGAAGACATGTGGCTATGGTAAATGTGTACACCTAGAACTGCCTTCATGAATAAATCAATTATTCTAAAACTAAGGGACCCATCGCTAGATGCTTTCATATGTCTCTCACATCAATAACAATTAGAGCAGTGGTCTCCAAAGCTGTGCGCAATCCAATGGAGTGAGACAAATATTAAAAACCTCTATTTTTATTTTTAAATGTCCCCTCTTTATATCTTATTTTTGCAGACTCCATGATGTACTATATAGAATCTTTGCTCAGCAATATATTTACAGATTCATAATTTAGCCTACAATTGGCAGTATGTACTCAAAAAAAAAAATTTCACTGTTGGAATATCATGATCAGAAACATTTGGAGACCACTGATTTAGGAAGGTGCCTCCCTGCTTGTGGTTAGTGAACCATGAAGTCCTGAGAGTAACATAAGTGTGTGTGAATGAAGAAGGAAGGGCTAATACACCAGCCCATGCTTAAAAAATAGAAAAAGAAAAAGAAAATTTTAAGTTATGATTGAGAATTAGACAACTGGGGGGCAATAAACCTTCTAATTTGTAAAATGTTATCTGACATTAGGCCTACCTGCCCTCAAGTTTTTTCTTTTTATGAATTGGACTTGTGTTTCCTTAAAAATGTTTGCAATTGATTTATATGTAGGTATTTCAACTTATACATTAATAAAAATTATTATAAATGGTGTGTTTTAATTGCATAGCAAATAGCATGTATATAAATCAGAACAACACTTTTTTTTTTTTTTTTGAGCTAGACTCTTACTCTGTCACCCAGGCTAGAGTGCAGTGACACGATCACATCTCACTGCAGCCTTGACCTCCCAGGCTTAGGCTATTCTTCCATTTCAGCCTCTTGAATAAAATAAAAATATTTTTATCACATAAAAATATTGGGATAAAAACTATCTGTTGTCCAAGGGCAGTAGCTTATGCCTGTAATCCCACCACTTTGGGAGGTTGAGGCAGGAGGATCCCTTGAGCCCAGGAGTTAGAGACCAACCTAGGCAACATAGCAAGACCTCGTCTCTACAAAAAAAATCAAAAAATTCACCATGTGTGCTGGCACATACCTGTAGTCCCAGCTACTAGAGAGGCTGAGGCAGAAGGATAGCCTGAGCCCAGGAGGTTGAGGCTGTAGTGAGCCATGACAGAGTGAAACCCTGACTCAAAAAAACCCCAACTATCTGTTGATATCTACAAATAGCTAGTTTTTTTTAATAGCTCTCAATATGTATGTTTGTCCCCCATAAGGCACGGACTGAGGTAAAACTTGTAAAAAAAAAAAAATTCAAAACAATGTGTTCAACTGTGGACATCAAAGCTTTTGCTGAAGAGGTAGTGTCCTACAGAAGGAATACCACCTGGGAACCATTGATTTAGGGATTCAATACTCAAGTATCCCAAGAGCACTTTATTCTTTCATATGGGCAAAATATAACTCAGTCATTTAGAACCATACTAGTCATTATCCAACATGGTAGCCGCATGTCACATAGGGATGTTTAAATTAATTAAAATTGAATAAAATTTAAAATGGATTTCCTCAGTCATACTATCCACATTTCATGTGTCCAATAGCCACATGTGGCCAGGGGCTACCACACTGGACAGCCCAGACAGAGAACACTTCTGTAAGTGCCAAGAGTTCTTCTGGACTATTCTACTGCTCAAGGATAATAGCCACAAGTTCTCCTGTCAAAAATGTTGAGATCTTATACTTACTGACTGTCACTTTGTCCTTGTCCCCCAGCATAATGTTGTTAGGCGTCAGATCTCTGTGAACAATCCTCTTCTCTTTGTGTAAGTACCGAAGAGCTAAGCACAGCTTGAAACAATGAATAACAAACAAATTTTAGCTGGATGTGGTGACTTGCGCCTATCATCCCAGCACTTTGGGAGGCAGAGGCCGGAGAACTGCTTGAGCCCAGAGATTCAAGGTCAGCCTGGGCAGCATGGCAAGACCTCGTCTCTAAATTTTAAAAAAATTAAATTAAAAAATAAATTAAAAAAAAAAAAAAAAGAGCTTAGCCAGGAGTGATGGTTCACACCTGGAATTCCAGCACTTTGGGAGGCCAAGGTGAGAGTATTGCCTGAGCCAACCTAGGCAACATAGCAAGACCTCGTCTCTACAAAACAAATCAAAAAATTCACCACGTGTGCTGGCACATACCTGTAGTCCTAGCTACTAGAGAGGCTGAGGCAGAAGGATAGCCTGAGCCCAGGAGATTGAGGCTGTAGTGAGGGAGTTTGAGACCAGCCTGAGCAACTTGGCAAGACTTTGTCACTACAATAAATTAAAAAAAATTTTTTTAAGATTTTAGCCGGACATGGCTCACGCCTGGAATGCCAATACTTTGGGGGGCCCAGGCAAGAGGACTGCCTGAACTCAGGGGTTCGAGACCAGCCTGAGCAACTTGGCAAGATCTCATCTCTACAATTTAAAAAAAAAAGATTTTAACTGGGCGTGGTGGCACATGTCTGTAGTTCCAGCTACTTGGGAGGCTGAGGTGAAAGAATCGCCTGAGTCCAGCTGGTTGAGGCTGCAGTGTCCGTGAGCTCTTGCCACTGTACTCCAGCCTGTGTGAGAGAGTGAGACTCTGACTCAAAAAAAAAAATTTATTTCCCCCAATAGACATATAACCAACAAAGACCACTGCACACGTCTCTAAGAAACTGGCTCAGAGCTTCACTGTTTTAAGCAAAATTTGATGAAGATAAAAAGGTACCTGTATAAATATTTTCCACAGTCTTTCTTCAGTAAAATGATGGTGCTTTTCCTTCAAAGAACTGAAATGCTCTCCAAGTGGGACTCCTTCTATAAGCTCCATAACTATGTACAACCTGTCATCTACATCGAAAACACAAAAAAGGGTCATAGAAATTCAAATTCAATATAGACATCGAGAAAAACCTTACTGATTAGAGTTCAGGTTTCTTTGGGATGTGCTAGACTATGGATTCACTCAGCTCTGGAGGGGATGGAAGTGAGAGGATCTTGGAGAAACTGGTAACCAGTGACAAGCTCTTCTGACCCCAGGCAATCTCTTAACATAACTCTACATTTCCCATGTATGCCACAATGTGGAATGACCAGAAGGGGCTAAAGAGAACAAGCACACAACTTCCAGTCATGGAAGATTCCCTGAAGAACAAACCAACCCACCTTTCCTCTCAGAAGTCTAACATCTACCCTCCGATCAAGTCAGACATTCAAAAAATTGCATTTTAAACTGCATTGTTTTGTAGTCACAAAGATTGAACCTTACAGAATTTTCCACTGGAATGACGTCATGGTCTTGCAATGACACCATTGAAAATACCACCCATGAGAGAAATTTCTGGTATGCCCCTTAAGAGCTGAGAAAGCGGCACCTCTCTCGGTTTTGTCTCATGGTGACTGGGAATGTCATGACTGACTGTGTTTGTCTCTTTGCTTTGGGTACCAACGAACAAAGAAGTAAATTCTACTCCCTCCTCTAAAGCCAGTATGAAATGATTAACAATGGTATGTGACACGTGTCTTTTGTGACTTTGGGATGCATATAAAATATGTATGTACAAAATATTTACAAAAAGTGAATATTACATATATTCTCCAACTTATACTTATTTTTATTAAACAGCCTATGTTTCAGTACCCACAGATCCAGGTCATTCTTTTTCTGATGCTTGTGTAGTATGGTACAATATGGATAAAACATAATTTAGTCAGGCTCCTATGGAGAGACATTGATATTGTTTCCATTTTTTTCATAATTTCAAGAAATATTTATTATATGGACCAATCTTTACCTCTAGCTTTATTTCTAGTCTCTTAGTCTTTCATTACTCGCTATTGCAATTTCCTAATCTATTTTATCATGTTTCATGTATTTTTAATCCACTTCCAATTTTTTTGATAAGCTGTCAAGTGGTTAAAAGGTTTCATTTTGGTTTTCATACTCAAACAAATTGGGTCACTTCAGTACAGGTCAGAAGCCAACCCTTGACCTCTTGGTGAAGGGACTGCACTAAACTATAAGAAATTATTCAAAGTATCAAGAATAGACGACCAAGGGAACAGAATTTACTGCAAGAGTTCAGTACTGAGTTCTTCTGACTAATCTCGGGAAGGGAGACGGGTAAAATCATAATTGCTGAAGTCCACAAAAGGTTTTCTTAAATAATAATAGCACAGAGAGGTAGTGAGGAAGCCCCAGTCGTTGTCTTGAATCTCTTTAAATCTATCTTCGAGTGGAGATTTATTTTGCAATTGCATATATCGAGCCTTTGACAGCCATAATCTAAGTGTTGCTAAACCTTAATGATATGCAATTGCATTTATTTTGCAATTGCATATTTATTTTGCAATTGCATATTTATTTTGCAATTGCATATTTTGCAATTGCATATTTTGCAATTGCATATCATTAAGGTTTAGCAACACTTCGATTATGGCTGTCAAAGGCTCGATTTTTTTAAACGAGCGACTGAGTGTGGCTTTATTTCAGCGTTTTGGTTCAGCGTTTTGGTTCAGTATTGCATCACAAGCTCAGAGAGCCTGCCTGCCTGCGGGACCAGTCGGGGCTCCATCGCCACCTTGTGGCAATTACCTGAAGTTCAAGTTAAGGAAATTTCAAAGACCTAGCTCGTGCCAATTTACTTTGGAGGTGGAAAATGTCATTTGATTCAACAAAAACAACTTTCCTTTTTGTCTTAAAGATACTGCTATCCTTTCGTTTTCTTTACTCCTGATCCTATTAAGTGCTTTGTTGTAAATGAAAACAGCACTAATGACTATTTTTATTGGTTCATGTGGTGTTTTTCATACAGGGATCTAAGTATTTTACAGCTACCCTCAGGTAATTAATTATGCCTGTTTCACTAGTCAAGAAAGCCACGCTCAGGACCACCCACTGTCATACTAATGACAAAAAAGTAAATAAAACAGTTGACATTTATTTTGTGACATTCTCATGTAAAAATGTGACAAAAATGTTTCCTTCATTAGAAATATCATGCAAACTCATACTTACTTTCCAGAAATGTTTTGTAATAACGCACAACATTGGGGTGATAAAGCTATAAGAAAATAAATAACAAATATTCATTACACTCCTTCAAACTGCAAACATCTTTCCATAGACTATTTAATTGACTTCATATTTGACAAAAACAAGTGAGTTATATTTATTTTAAAAACTAAGCATTTCAAGATATAATCTAATTAATATTTGTATGGCTTTTTAAAATTTGTGCTTCTAAAACTTATCTGAAAACAGCCATCTCCTATATACTTACCAACCAAAATTAAAAACTATGCTTTATCACCTAAGATAGAGAACTATAGAAATAGAAAGGGACTTTAAGAATTCCTTTAGCCCTCCTGGCTCCAACATCACACACAGACTGCATAGAGGAAAAACGGAAATGAAATAATTATGTTGAATGTGTATTCATTGCTCTTAACCTCTCTCTGCCATCTAAATATGTTTATGTAGTTTGTGTCTATTTATACTATTTCTGTCTATGTTCTCCAAAATGATTAGTATGAGAATGACAGAATCTTAGTATGAAATGAGAATTAACTCAATTTAAATTATAATAATAGTTGACAAGGATTTCATCCTTGACCAAACTTTAGTCAGGTTCCTCTGAGCCATCTTCTCGATCGAGACTCACCCTTGGTTGGCCTGGTGTTAGGAAGAATTCCACTAAGTCTGATCAAGAAAAACCCCTGACCCTTGACATTCACTTAAGTTCCTATCCCCACACCCTTGTTGTCTAGCCAAGAAACTCTTAGTCATTTTCAATTCACTTTCTCCCTCGTCCTGCCTGTTGACAGTAAATCTTCAACTTTCCCGTTCATCTTGAACTCAGAGTTGGGCTCAATCTCTCTTCTCTACTGCAATAGCTTGAGCTCTATTGCAATAGCATTGAATAAAGTCTTCCCTGCCATTTTTTAAAAAGTATTTGATGTAACTTCTCTTTGATATAAGCTTACTTAAGGATGTGAATGGAAATTCTGCCTTTTTAAATTAAAAAATATGTATCATTTTATACAAGAATGCTAATATTTGTATAGTTGTTAAAATTTAAGTTTCTAGATAAATTAAAATGTGTCTTATCTCAGAAATGTCACCGTCACATCTACAAATGACTTGCTTGCATCTCTTGATCTTTCTGAGAGCCTTGGCAGAGACTGCTGGCTGTCCACCAAATCCTGTTCCTCTCCTGCACTGGAATAGAGTGGTAGCTGGACGTGGCTTCCCAGTCAGAGAGACATCCCCCAGCCCCTCCTGGAGCCGCGAGAGGGGCTATCACTCAGTTCTCATCCGTGGAGTACGAGGAAGCGTGCACTCCTGTGTCTGAGCCCTAAACATTAGGACTGGCCTTCTATTGCCTTCCTTTTCCTCCCTTGGAAATGAGCATGTCTAGGACAGTTTCAACCACAGATGAGGACAATGCCCTAGGAGGTAGCAGAGCGCGAAAAAACCTATGTCCCCAAATTTCTGCACGGAACACAGAGCATTGCCAACACTCAAGATTGTTACGTCAAAGAGAAATAATGCACTGCATTATGAAGCCTCTTTTGAAGCTCCTATATTTTGGGGGTTCTTCAATACTGCAGGTTTGTCTTATTCCTGATGTATTCTCCCACTCTAGACCCATCTCTGTTGCTTCTGTCTGCCATGACTTCCTTCTTCTAGGCTCAATGATATTATCCTTCCCAATGGTTTTATCTTCCGGTGAGAGAGCAATTGTGTAATTCAGAGTTTCCTCAAAGCCCGAGCAGATGCCTCTTCCCTGGTCTCACCGTGACACTTCCTTTGGGGAATGTGCTAAAAACAAATCATCTCCCTCATCAACTCACAAGTGGCCAGCAGATTTTAAACATTATAGGATGGGACCAGGTAAACAACCAGAACCATATTCTGGAACTAGCTCACTGTTGAGGACTGTGACACTGGACCGACTCAGGTCAAAAGCCATGTTCTAGCCTAGAGCCATAAGTAAACAGCACACTGCTGGCCAGAGTATCCTTAACATGAACAAACACTAACTTTTCAAAATTATATTAGTATATAAAAGTCAACTATAAAGCAAGCGGTTGGTGATAACACATACTCCAAATTATAAAGTGAACTAGAGCTATGGATTTCAATGAATAAAGATCATCATATTTCAAGTATTCCTTATACCCCAGCACAGGTGCTTTGCAAATCTCACTCATGAAAAAAAAGAGCCGCGAAGCTGAGAGTTCTTCCTCAGCTCTTATAAATGAGCAGTAATTGGAAGGAATGTGAACTAAAGAAGGCTGAAAAAGAAACCTAAGTATTCTTGGATCCCACAGAGAAATCCCATTTCTCTTCTGAAATGTTTATTCTTCCTCCCCAGACCAACTTTCAGAATGATAGTTAACTGAGCTGTTATATTAATGTCAGAGCGTTCTGCTCAGGCCAATAAATAATAACTCATCTTGAAAAATCTACATTTTAGATTTAATAAGCCATATTGGAGAAATATTAGCAACTTGCTTCCACTTGACAAAAGTCAGAAAACTGTTAGTCATATTTCAATGTATGTAACTAAGTAACCAAATACTCTCAAATATAACAAGAAGGGAATGGACACGTTCACAATGAAAAGGATTTCTCGCATAGGATGTGCTCTGTACTGCAAACCCAATTATTTGGCATCCATGGCTCTAATATAAACTCTAGAAAGTGTTTTGATGCCAAGTCTTAGGAAAATAATCACTGCCTCAGTGTCAACTATTTCACACGGAACTAGTTCATCAACAGCATAGTCAATAATAGCACAGGAACTCTGCCTTTTTTTTTTTTTTGAATTGGAGTCATTTTTAATGGCATTCATTTAAGGAAAACATCTCCAGGAAGAAGAAAAACATGTACCTGCTCTTTAATTATTGTTAATTCTGAAACAATATTCTTCACACTGCTGTCTCGATCTTTTTTATCCTTTCCAAATGCTGGGTTGTGCAAATTGACCTCCTTCATTGCCAAAAGATTTTGACCACTACGCTTCCTAACCTAAAAGAAGGAAATTAAAAAGAGAGAATGGGTGAAGGCAGAAAGGGGAAGAGACAGATTAACAACAAAGTCACATGACCAAGTCATCTAAATACGTCACAGAACGTTTAAAATTCTAACTGTATTTACATTAAGCTCAGCACCAAAAATTGGTATCTCCTGGGTTAGTCTGCAAAATTCAGTAGGATTTTACTGGGTAAATACAGAAACACTGATGGAAATTTAGAGACTGTGCCAGGTATTGGGATGAGCTATTTAGAACATTTTTGTGAGTGATTAATGATCATCTTTTGTCTTGAAAAGTCAGTGGCCAGTTTCCAGATCTGGGAACAAAGATGACGTCAGTGTCCATCTATTGGACAAAAACAAAAATTCTAATTTTATGTCTGTTTACTGTTCTTCAATGACAGGAGTTCCAGTTCAATTGAGTAGGGGTGTGCAAGTGCAACATACGGTTTCTTTGAGACTGTCAGAAATGTTGCTCCCCAAGGGCAAAGTCACCTTGTACACACAACCAAAAGCTCCACTTCCAAGGTGATCCAGAATTGCGTAGTTGCCTATATACTTCGAAGGCGCTTTGTTCTGATTAACACTTTCGATATTTTCAGCAATTTGCCTCAGGTCGTCCTCCTAAGCAGAAAATAAAGAGGAAACGTGTTGCTGTGATAAATTCTACCCTGACCGCATAGCAGCCTGACAAAATATTTAAAACTCAGCACTTACCACTAATAAATTCAACTTGGACACCAACCCTTCATAAGCACTGATATCACGAACATAATGTCCTATATCAATGAAGGTCTCAAACAAGTCTGTGGGGAAAAGTCTATGGGGAAAAAAAATCCACACACTTAACGCAGAACTTGGAAACTGTGGGTCACCACTTCCCTTTCGGACCCAGCTCACTCACAGATTAATCGTATGATGCAAACTTAACTTCCTTAGGTTATCAACAAAACGGAGGAAATAACATTCCCCAACTTATCTTGCAAAAATACACTAGGGCTTCAGTTCTTGGGGGAGTCAGGAGAACGCTTTAGAGGTCTGCTATACAACATTGTGCTTATAGTTGACAACACTGTACTGTATTCTTAATGTTTAAAAGGTACATCTTATGTTAATGTTTTTAACCACAATTTAAAAGATAGATCTGATAGAGATTATACAAGACCCTATTAGTAAGATATTTGGAAGTATAGGTATTAAACATACAGAAAGGAATGTCTATTGGGTGTTTATTGAGTATAAAGCCTTTTCAAAAAAGGTCATTTGATTCCGTCTTCATATCAACCCTGAAAGGTAAATACTAATCCTGTTTTTTTGTTTGTTTTTTTCGAGTCGTGGTCTTACCCGATTGCCCAGGCTGGAGTACTGTAGCATGATCATAGCTCATCACAGCCTCTATCTCCTGGGCTCAAGCAACCTTCCCATCTCAGCCTCATATACAGCTGGGACTACAGGCATGTGCCACCAAGTCCAGCTAATTTTTTTTTTTTTTTTTTGTAGAGATGAGATCTCACTATGTTGTCCAGGCTAGTCTCAAACTTCTGGTCTCAAGAAATTCTCTTCCCTCGGCCTCCCAAAGTGCTGGGGTTACAAGTGTGAGCCAAATACGCTGGCCCTAACACAACTTTTAAATGTTTTATGAAAATAAAATAAAAATACAGATACATGAAAAATAAACTAAATGGAGAGATTCATGCATCATTCCCAAGGGACTGGTTTCAAGGGCTTTTAAAATATTTAAGTTCACAAGAATGACTTACAGCTTTCAAATGAAAAGTTAAAATAAATGACAAATTTTACCTCCTTTTCCTCCAAATTCAAGCATCATATAGATATATAGCAGCAAAATAAAATGCTTTCTATATTTGATCTTAGCCACAAGGCTGAAAAGCAAATCTCCTTGCTTTCTGTACAAAAAAACACTACTTTAATTCAACATTTTCTTTCTATTCTGCATATCAACAAAATTTTAATAAGAACTTGGGCCTGGCTGGGCTTGGTGGCTCAGCCTGTAATCCCAGCACTTTGGGAAGATGAGGTGAGTGAGTGGACTGCCTGAGCCCGCAGGTTCGAGAACAGCTCGGGCAACTTAGTGAGACCTCTACTCTACAATAAAAATAAAAAATTAGCCAGGTGTGGTAGCTCACACCTGTAGTTTCGGCTATTTGGAAGGCTGAGGTGGAAGGACTGTCGGAGTCCAGTAGGTCAATGCTGGGGGTGGCCATAAGTGTGCTACTGCACTCCAGCTGGGCAAAGAAGAAGTGAGACTCCAACTCAAAAAAAAAACAAAAAACAATTAGAACTTGGGCCTGTGGTTTTGGCTGCACCACCATTTAGGTAACTAATGTTTGCTTCCAAGATGGTGACTTTTTGGTCAGGCTCCCAATTCCTAGACATCCAGCCTCCTCCCCTTCCGATGAACTCCTACCCTCTCAAGGATATCCAGACAAATAACTAGTTTTTCTACTGATGAAGGGGGAATCACCAAATTCACTTCCAAATTTCCAAATAGCAAAAACAAGCACATATTTTGATGCCATCCATTTAACATGTTACTCTCTATCATTACCAAAAAATTTAAAACGATAGAAGTCACATGTAATTAAGAGGAGCGGTACAGAAAGATAGTTCAGGCTTTGTGGAAAGCAGTGTTGCGTTTTCTTTAAGAACTAAACATTGAGCTACCTTATGATCCAGCAATCCCACTTCTACGAAAAGACATCTGCACACATATGTTCATTGCAGCACCATTCACAACAGTAAAAACATGGAACCAACCCAGATGCCCATCGAAAGTGGACTGGATCAAGAAAAGGTGGCATATATACATGATAAAACACCACACAGCTATAAAGAAGAACAAGATCATGGCCTTCGCAACAACATACAGGCAACTGGAAACCATCGTACCAAGCGAACTAACATCGAAACAAAAAACCCAGTACCACGTGTTCTCACTCATAAGAAGGCCCTGATCACCAGACACATGAGCACAAAGGTGGGGAGACAACAGATGCCGGGCACTGCGGAAGGAGGCAGGGGGACAGGAGGGCTGAGGGCCACACAGCCACACACTGGGTCTCCAGTCCACTGCCAGGGGGATAGCAGGCTCGCTAGAAGCCCAAACCTCACCTGGGCGCAATTTGCTTCTGTAGGAAATCCTCACATGTACCCTACCACTCTAAAAATAAACTTTTTTTAAAAAAGAGGAGTTGTGCTGATCATGGTGATTTATGTTCTTTCATCACCATTCCATTCATTCTCAGTATTAAAATAGAGTTACACTAGCTCTGTTATATCTGTGTAATCTAAGAAGTCCGAAGACACACGGCTTGCATACGATTCATTCTGTATGTGAAAACGGTTCAGTCTCATGTTCTCTCAGATCCAGCGATCACTTGCATTTCTCTAAGCTCATACCTTTTAAAGAGTGGTCTGTTTCTTTCCATACTGAAGAGAAACCTCAAGGCTCTGAAAGCATAACACTGGAAAAGAAAAAGACGTGATTCTTAATGGTGGCTCAACGAATTAAAAACTTTTTCAGCCCAGCATTATCATGAAATAAACATTCAAGCGGCTTTATTGTGAGTGGCTGGCCCAAGCTGGAGCCACAGCTTATGACCAAAAACAAAAACACCACCACCTGGCGTAGCTCTCGTTTTAAAAAGTGTTTATGTTGTAGAATGCTAGAGACCCTGGCCATGCTTCGCCGGTGCTTGTCATTAATTCCTCTCTAGAAAGTACAAAATGAGCACAGAGACAAGAAAGAAAATTCCTATGCTGAGAAAACCAAATGTCCCAAGATTTCCAGGAGCCCAAGGTTTATTTTGTTTCTAGCCTGCTATGTATACCTCAATATTTATATGGTTTCTGTGAGAAAATAAACACTAGAAATGATGACATATAAAAATAGCCACAGGCACACTGGACTCAAACTTGACAAATTGGTCTCTTGAGTAAAGTCTTAAGCGCTCCCCAAATACAGCAATCTACAGTAACTCCCTAGAACGCTTGGAAAGAGGCCTGTGAGGCTTTAACTAGGAAAAATAAACATCTGACATCTTGCAGCGCTGAGAAAAGAGAGAGCCCTCGCCTGCCGTTGTACCTATACAACTGGTCACCACTGGAGCAATCAGGGTCTGCCAAACTGGATCTGGGATCATTTCATACAAGTGATCTGAGTATCTAGACCGGTCGCGAAAAAACCAGAGAGCTGAGGCAAAAACACAGCCACACGAGAGGCCTGGTCAGAGCAGCGGAGACTGAGAGGCAGCGAGGACACACGTGGCCCTCAAAAGGCATTCCACCCAGAATGCTTGAAGTCCATTTACAGGCTTCCCAGAATGCATCTGGGGGATGAATTCAACTGGGCCTGCTTCCCATCCCAGTGTTAAACATCTGTAGCGCTCTGGAGGAAGCAAGCCCCATGCCTCTACGTTCTCATTGGTAGTTCTCCAAAAACTGGCAGCGCTGGACATCCCCAAAAAGTCTCTACTAGGTGTGGCTATCCCTCTGGATGGAAGCTCTCAAATCAGATTGGAGACAAAGGTTGTTTCTTATTTCCTTTTCTAAATGACTTGGGGGGGGGAATTAAAAAGATGAGCTGCTATTCCTGCAAACACTTACTTAAAATCTTATTTTGTCATTCGGCTCACGGCCCTCCCCCATACCTACTCCTCAAGAGAACATACGATCCTGCATAAATGTGCCCCCTTCTTACCTGTGTGGCCCCATCCCTGGGACACTCCCCTACCAACCATACACCCCCAACCCTGCTGAGCAGCCTGCCCGCCCCCTCAGCACACGCTAAGCTCTGGGGCTTCCACACTGGGTGCATGAGGGTCCCTGTGCGTGGAATGCCCTTCCACCCCGGAGAGGCCATGGATGCCCCAGCCAGCATCCCCTTATCCACTTGGCAACTCCCTTCTCATCCATCAAGATCCATTTTACAGTTTTTCCTTTTTCAAGGTGAAATGCTAGTGATTGTGGTCTGTGTTTAAAGATGGTAAGTAATATTCCTCTGTTGTTATACCGTGATACATGAGCAATGCATATTTTTAAAAAATAGAACTTACTGATAAGCAAAGAAGCACTGAAATAAAATCACCTAATTCTCCCACACAGAGAAACCACTGTTACTCCTTTTACAGTGTTTTTGTCTAGACAACATAGCAAGACCTTGTTGCTACAAAAATTTTTTTTAAAAAATTGCCAGGCATGGTGGCACATGACTGTAGTCCCAGCTACTTGGGAGCCTAAGCAGAAGAATCGCCTGAGTCCAGGAGGTTGTGGCTGTGGTGAGCTGCGATCATGCCACTGCCCTCCAGCCTGGGCAACAGAGTGAGACTCTGACTTGAAATAAATGAAAAGAAAGACAGGATGGGAAGGGAAGGCAAGGGGGGATATGGAGGAAGGAAGGAAGGAAGGAAGGAAGGAAGGAAGGAAGGAAGGAAGGAAGGAAGGAAATGAATTACTGACAAGCAAAGAAACACCTAAGTAAAATCACTTAATTCTCCCACACAGAGAAGCCACTGTTTTGCCTTTTACAATGTTTTAATGTCATCTGTTTTCATGCCAGTCTCCCTCACCAAGATATTTTTCTCTCCCAGGCAGTACAGGGGCCAGCACTAACCCCAAAATTCTAAAAAGTATAGCTCATTCTATCAAAGTTTCCCCAGATTTCAATAACTTGATATTGAAGAGAAGCAGACATGTTTATTACCTGTAAAAGATTAGTTTTCGTGGCGTTCTTTTGTTTATTTGGTAAAATTAATTTTGCTATTGTATACACACCATTTTCCTGGAAGAAAAAAGGGGCCGTGTTATCAGTGACAATGCCACAGAGATTGCACAAAGAGGCAACAAGCAATCTCAAAAATGAATAGTTAAAAGCACAAAGAGGCAACAAGCAATCTCAAAAATGAATAGTTAAGAAGAAACATCAGCATAATTTTGGAAGCGTACGTAAATGTCACAGGACAACACAAAAAATGTCAACATAATACTTTTAAACACCAAAGACTACAGTCACGATCTTACAAGTTCAACCGTCTGCAGTCAAGATTACGATAAATAAAGTGTATATATTTAAAGTAATTTAAATACTTTAAAAACAAAGAATGGGGGATTTAAAAGGGACCAAGTAAAGGGATCCAAATATTTTTTAAATTTGCTTTTCAAATTCCTAACTATGAAGCATAATTTCTCCCTTTATAGTTTTGGTAATTAAAGAATATACATTGATCAATCTTTGTAAAAACAAAATTTAAAGAAATAAGAACAACAGATTTTAAAAGAAATGAAAGTTATCTGTGAAAACACAGTTAAACATCTTTCTAGACTTATTCTAATACAAATATTAAACATAAAGGAATGAATGAAAAGTATTAACTTCCTGCTACTTTTCCATTACCTATTAAATATATGTATTTGCTGATCTCTGCTGGGTGTGGGCATTCAGATTATAACTGTGAAGAGTTTGTCAGCCTTACTGCATCTAATCTTTGTAGCTACTCTGTGAATTTATTTCTAATATCTCTGTTTTATGCATAAGAATACCCAGAACTTAGAGAGGTTATGTCATTTTTTTCAGAAGCCAAGCCAGCAAGTAATAATGCCAAGAACTAAACCCCAATCTTGTCAACTCCAAATACCCTGCTCTACCAATTACCCCTTGATTTGTGGAACTTCCCTCAGGGCCTTTAGTCATTGGTGATCTGATCCCTTAATGTTTGTTTATTTTGAAGTTGAAGTTGGACATTTTATCGATCCCCCAAAAAAGCTTCCTCTGTAAAATTCAGTAAGTAGGAGGTAACTTTTGCAGTAAAAATTCACACAAGGGTGGTACACACATATGTATGTATACTTACATATAAATATATATTTATATTTATGGGTGTGCATGCGCCCATAAATCTATGCACCCAAGCACATCTATATCTGTATATATAATAGATTAATCAACGAATTATATTTTGCAGTTTCTTGGCAATAAATATATTTTTTTGGTGTGTTTCAATCACCTCTAACCAAATAACCTTCATTAAAATGACTGCTGTCAACTTGGATGGATTTAGAGTCTATCATACTCAGTGATCTATCACAGAAACAAAGAACAGAATACCACGTGTTCTCACTCATAAGCGGACCTTGAACAATTGTCATAATACTATAAGAAAGGGATTGGGAGTAGTGGGAAACTGTCAGGGGAGGGGGGGTGGGACTGGCAGTTGAGGGAAACTGCTGGGGGGGGGGCACACCTCATCAGCAAGGGTACCTGCTTCATGAACATCTGTATACCTAACCCTGAATTGTGCCCCACGTCTTTAAAATAAAGAAAAACAAAACAAAATAAAATGACTGCTGTCCTGACTTATGGAATTCTATTTGCCAGGAATTCAGAATAACTTTTTTTAAAAGATAAAAAAATGGAAAGGAATGCACATAATGTAGGGAAGAAACAGCAATATCAACTGACTTTCTAAGCCAAGTGAGTTAAAGGAGGAAGGAAGAGAATATAAAGCGGAACTCTATTTGGTAACTTGTGTTGAGGTGTTTAAAAATCCCAACACTGTATTCTGGGATACAGACAGCACCCTAGGAGGGTCAGTGATGACACGGCTGTGGAGACCCGACCCCAGAGAGGCATGCTCTCACCTGAACCACCTGGTGGGCGTTGGTGTCGCTGAGCACCAGTTCAGTGAGGGCCGCGCAGCAGGCTGGAATGAAACCGTCAAATGCACAGTGCACAGCATCACTACAAACACACCTTGACATGCATGCCCTTAACCCACAGCAAAGCTCATGAGTAAGGTCAGTCCTCAAGAAACACTAATTTTCCTTCTGGTCCAGTTCTTGAAGAACGGAAGTCGACTTTTTTTTTTTTTTTTTTTTGAGTCAGTCTCACTCTGTCTCCAAGGCCGGAGTGCAGTGGCATGCCCACACCCACTGCAGCCTCAACCTGCTGGATTCAGGTGATCCTTCTGCCTCAGCCTTCCAAGTAACTGGAACTACAGGCACGCGCCACCATGCCCAGCTAATTTTTTGATGTATGGTAGAGATGAGGCCTCACCAAATTGCCCGGGCTGGTCTTGAACCCATGGGCTCAGGCGATCCTCTCATGTCGGCCTCCCAAAGGGTTGGGATTACGAGCTTGAGCCACCGCGCCCAGCCCAATGTTTTCTTTAAAGGGTTAGGTATTAAATAGTTTAGGCTATGAGAGCCATGTGGTCTCTGTCGCAACGACTCAACTCAGTTCTGTTACTGTAAAATGAAAGCAGTCATAGATGATACATCAACAAATGAGAGTGGCTGTGATCCCATAAAACTTTATTTTAAAATGGCCTTGTGCCGGATTTAGCCCACAAACCGGTTTGCTGACCTTTACTCTACCTTGCTAGTTCTCAAACTTGAGTGGTCATCAGGATCACCTGAAAGACCTTTTTTTCTTTTTTTGAGCCGGAGTCTCACTCTGTCACCTAGGCTAAAGTGCAGTGTCACACTCACAGCCACCGCAGGCTTGACCTGCTGGACTCAGGAGATCCTTCCACCTCAATCTTCCAAGTAGCTGGAACTACAGGCACGTGTCACCACACCTGGCTAATTTTTTTATTTATGGTAGAGATGAGGCCTTGCCAAGTTGCCCAGGCTGGTCTGGAATCCATGGGCTCAGGCAGTCCTCTCACCTCGACCTCCCAAAAGGTAGGGATTATAGGCGTGGGCCACCGCACCTGGCCTGGGGGAAGTTGACTTTCAATATCTCCTAACTTCCCTCCATGTGACGTAGGTGCATGTCGAACCCACAGCAGTCTCTTATTGAGTACTTACTGTGTACCAGGAAGCAGGGACTGCATCTGTCCTAGTACCCAACATGTACTTGGCGCTTAGCAGGCACTCAATAAATATATCAACAACAGCTGGTAAATGAACAAATGCTTTTAATATATTATCCAAATTAATCTTTATAATCAGCGTATGCACTATGATGATCAGTTTTGCTGATGAGAAAACAGGTTCAGAGAGGCTAGTGGACTAGACCACACAACCAGCAAGTGGAAGGAACCCAGAGTCCAGCCCCAGTCTGCCAGATGTTAAATCCTAAATCCTGAGCGGTACCACTCCTGCATCTTTATGGCCATCGAGGTGGACTTTGGTGGCATTCTACACTGAGATACTTACCCTCCCAGAGGCTTACCAGACTCTATGGCACAGAACACCTATGGAGGATCATACCATTTTCTTGAGCCCCAGCACCGTGCTAAAGAATGCACAAACATTCTCATTTAGTTTTCACAATCACTTCCTATCACTGATATCATGATGATGTCATCATTTTATGGGAGCAAAACTGAAGGCTGGAAAGGTCAAGGAATTTGCCCAAGGCCATATAGCCATCAAAGAGGGTGGAGCCAAAATTCAGACCCTACTCTTAACCCCTTATGTGTTTATTTTTTATTTATTTTTATGTAGGCATCAAATAAGCCATGTCAAGTAAATGCATCTGAAGTGTACAGCTCAATGAGATGTGACATAGCTGTGTACCCTGTAACCACCTCCCACCCAGATGAATATATGGTCATTTCCAGTCCCCAAAGCCTCCCCCATGTCCCTCCCAGGCATTAGTCCTATAATCCCACATGTAGGTAACAGCTTTTCTGACATCTGTGTGACTTGTGAAGACATATCTTCTCCGTTGCTCAAGAGGAAATAGCAGGGAGCAAAGCACACTCTCTGCCCCTCATTCCTGTCCCCTGCCCTGTCTGCCCTTCCCCCTTGGGATCTCCCTGTCCCCTGCTGGCCCGTAGCATGCCTCTCTGCTCCCTTCCTGTGGGCCACTCTAGGGCACCGAGTTTAGCCAACAACACCCAGACCACACTGTAGCTGCACTTGTCCCATAGGCCAGATGCCCATGAGCAGGGGCACAGACTGCACGAGTGCTCAAGGTAGCCCTGCCAAAAAGTGTGTTCAGGCATCGCTGCTCCTGCTTTTGTGTGAAAATCCCGCACAGAGCAGCATCTTTTAGGGCTTTCTCTTTGGAGCTTGTGAAGTGTGAGGAAAGTACTTCCCTTTCACCTGATGAGAGAGGTGTGTGCACTGTAGATTATCCTCTAAGTAAGGTGCTCTGGGATCTAGAAAATTCTAGAAAGCACAATTCTGGCCACAGACCAAACTGCATCCTCTAGTCCAGTTTCACCAGTAACAAAGCTAACATTCTGTCTCTTCATCTCTGACCTTTGTATTTTCTCCTCAGTGAGCTCAGAACACAGAAGACAGAGGAAAGCCTGCCATATCATTAATCTTCAAGTCCTACACTGGGACCAAGAAATTTCTGGTATCCACCTGGATTTAACTTTACGTTTTTATAAACTAATAAATTACACCTAATTAACACTGTCACACTAATGTATAACTTAGAATAATAATTCAACATATGAAATTATACAATACCAAATAATAAAACATAAGTACCTGCTTGAAGAGAGAAAATGTTTTCTTGTATTTCCCGAGGGCTTAAATCTTCTGAGAGATGCAGCTGCTGGATTCGGCCTGCGGCATTTGCACTAGACAGGCTTCCAATGGAGGAACGATCAGAGACAAAATTTCTATCTCTGAAAAAGAAAAAAAAAGAACGCACAAAACATGTGTCAGTTTTCTTTCGTGGTCAGTCCTTTCTGTGTCCTGTTTAAGAAATCCTCCTGAGGTCATGAAGATATCTACATTGTTTCACATTCCAATAGAGCCAGAGTTGATGTCTGTGTATGGTGTGAGGTAGGAATCATTTTTTTTTAATGGTGAGGGAACTGATTCCACACTATTTATTGAAAAACCTATCCTTTCCCCACTGCCCTGTGTGATCACCTTTGGTTTTCAATGCTCTATTCTGCTGCGTTCCTCTCTTGAATACATCTCAGTCTTGATTATTCTGAGTGATCTTATTCTATGAAATACCAAACTTCCTTTATTTTAGGAAAGTTCTATTCTATGATATCTTTTCTGTTGTTTTGGATTGTGTGTGTTTGTTTAAAGACAGAGTCACTGGGCTCAGGCTGGAGTGCAGTGGTGCGATCATAGCTCATGGCAGCCCTGAACTCCTGGGTTCAAGCAATCTTCTGCCTAAGCCTCCTGGGTAGCTGGGACCAAAGGCACACACCATTACGCCCAGCAATTTTTTTTTTATTGTTATGTGTTATAGAGATGAGGTCTTGCTATGTCCCCAGCTGGTCTCAAACTCTTTGCCTCAAACACTCCTCCCACCGTGGCCTCTCAAAGCATGAGATCACAGATGTGAGTCACCGCACAGCTCTTATATCTTTGAATTTTTGATACTTTCTATTCTACGCTCTATCTCAAGGACCTCAATTATACACATATTGAAAACCAATATTCTATTGGCCATATCTTTCTGCCAATTGCATTTATTCCTTCATCTTTTTCCTCTGCATTATATGTGATTTTTTTAAACTTTCCCTCCATTGTACTACTTTTTTTCTGGTACTTTGTCTTTGATAAAATAAAGTATTTGTTTTGTTTTGTTTGTTCTGTGTCACTGTCTTCTACAACAGATACTTCACCTGTCTTTCGCCTGCTTTGTTCCCTTTTGCTTTACATGATTACCCTATTTTTTCATACATGTCTTCTTTATTATGAAGAGCATGTAACAGGCAGTAGCAGTTCTATCTGGATTTCTATGAGCCCAAGTAGAACATGGGTGGAGCCTCCCTGACTTCCATCTCATGTCATTTGGGTCCACTGGTGTCCTTCCTTCAATAGGCATGGGGAAGGTAACAGAGCTAGGGTTAGGGACAGTCATTACTGGTGACATATCTGTCAGCATAATAATCTTTTTTTTTTTTGAGTTGGAGTCTCACTCCGTCACCCAGGCTGGAGTGCAAGGGCACACTCACTGCCACCCCAGCGCCAACCTGCTGGGCTCCGGTGATCCTTCTGCCTCAGCCTTCCAAGTAGCCAGAACTACAGGTGCGTGCCACCATGCCCTGCTAATTTTTTAATTTTATTGTAAAGACGAGGTCTCGCCAAGTTGCCCGGGTTAGTCTCAAACCCACAGGCTCAGGCAATCCACTCGCCTCGGCCTCCCAAAGTGCTGGGATTACAAGCTGAGCCACTAAGCCCGGCCAACATAATAATCTTAAAACTCAAATTTAAGAGATCTCTCCTCCTGAACAAGAGTATGTAGCCTTTTGGGAACAGCCTGTGCATTTGGGATTGCAGGTGAATGAATGGGCATAAACAGATTTCCTGGAAACTGCCTGACAACAGTGCCTGTTCAGATTCAAGCCACCAGCCAACCCAGCAACCTCCAGCCCCAGTGCCCACATCAGGTAGCCTAGGAGCAGGCACAAGCTCTGAAAGGAGTTGTTTATCCAGCTGGGGTCATAAATTCTCCCAGAGCACCAAGACATATTTAACAGAGAATAGGAGTTGACGTGCATCATCTTCCTAGAGAAGCATGTTCTAACAGTGCACCATCAAAACAGACTGGAAAATGACTCTTTAGATGTGAAAGGACTATTTTTTATCAAGGATAGTTATGACTTGAGGAAAATTAGTGCTTTATGTGAAATTCAACTCTGTGTGAGAAAAAGGCAGATTCTGTATTTGAAGAACTGCTTAACTATTAATGGAATTTCGTTTTATCATTAAGAAAATGGCTGCTCTCCAGAAAGGCAACCCCAAGCTATTGTAATAGGTACAAGGGGGGACCCAAAAAAACCCGGGATTTATTTGTTAAAAATCATGTTTTTGTTCTTACATGCTTAAATTTCAGTCACAGTCGTGGCTCAAGCCTGTAATCCCAGCACTTTGGGAAGCTGAGGCGAGAGGATTGCCTGAGCTCAGGGGTTCGAGACCAGCCTGGGCAACTTGGTGAGATCTCGTCTCTACAATAAATCAAAAAATAAGCCAGATGTGGTAGCGCACACCTGTAGTTCCAGCTACATGGAAGGCTGAGGCAGAAGGATCGCCTGAGCCCAGCAGGTTGAGGCTGCGATGGCCGTGAGCATGCCACTGCACTCCAGCCTGGGCAACAGAGTAAGACTCCGACCCAATCAGTCAATCAATCAACCAATCAATCAATCTCAGCCACCTTCAAAGTACGCTCCATGTGATGCAATACACCTATTTCCATTGCTCAAAACAGTTTTGAGCACGTCAATTTTGATGGCTTTTAGTGCTTCTGCCATTTTTTGTTTCACCTCTTCCACATCAACACAACATTTCCCTTTGAGGACTTTTTTCATCCAGAAAAAAAAGGTCACTCAGGGTGAGAGTGGGTGAAAGTGAAGGTAGGGGACAGGGTCATGCCATTTTGCTTAACGCTCAGCAAGGTGTGGGCAGGTACGTTGTCACAGTGGAAGAACCAGTGACCTGTTTGCAACACCTTGGAAAGTTTCCTCTGCAAATCGTGACACAACCTTCTCAACTTCCATATCAAAACTTTGGTTGAGGCCAGGGGCAGTGGCTCTCGCCTGCAATCCCAGCACTTTGGGTGGCAGAGGTGAGAGGATTTTCCGAGTCCAGAGAGGTTCAAGACCAGCCCGGACAACTTGGCAAGACCTCATCTCTAAAATAAATTTAAAAAACTAGCCAGGCATGGTGGCACATAGCTGTGCTTCCAGCTACTTGGAGAGCTGAGGCAGAAGAATTGCCTGAGCCCATTAGGTCAAGGCTGCGGTGGCCATGAGTGTGCCACTGCACTCCAGCCTGGGTGACAGAGTGAGACTCCAACTCAAAATAATAAAAAATTTAAAAAATAAAAACTTTGGCTGACCGTTTGATCTGGAGGAACAAATTCTGAGTGTACAACAAGGGTCTCGCCTTCCAAAAGATAATTCTGGGTTTTTTGGGGTCCCCCTTCAAACGGCTGACCAACAGTAAGTAATAACCACCACAACCATTATAACCATCATCAACCAACAAACCCAAAGATGAAACTCTTTGGCATTGTAATTATTTTGACCAAGGGGCTAGCTTATTATGTCACAACATTAATGAAAGATTTACAATTTATACTTTAAAGTAATTGACACTTATATGTGACTTTCATAAAAGCAACTAGGTTGTCACCAGTCTATAAATGTTGCTGTTGTTGCTTAGGTAATGACAGAAATCATTCACAAGGTGACTGTTCATCTCTCTACAGCCTGTTCTGATGTTCTGATGCTTCAGAATGTTCCCTTAGAGAAAATAAAGTTGGCAGCACATATTTCCACAATATTCCTAGAAGCATAACAAGTACAAAGACTTAATCATATTGACTTGATAATATCTACGTATATTAAAATTGATAAGTCATTCTGCCTTTATTAAAATGAGCTTAATGCACTATAGATCATAAACATGATCCATTTCAAGCAGACAGATTCATTTTTAACTTTGATTCAGCACCCATAGGGCTGAATTATGTTTTATAATAATACTAGGTAATAGAAACTTCCCATGGGTGGCTCCAGAAGATATTATTATTCAATAGTGCAATATATTTAATTCAGAAAATATGGAAGTTCGATTGCAACACACTTCTAGAGAATTTCAATTGGAAACTAAGCTAACAAAACATCCCTCCCCCATGTGCACGACTTAGAATGTCATTGGAATTCTACTTTTCAAAGACAGATAATAATACCCATCTTAGAGGACTGTAATGAAGATTAGAAAGAAAAGCAGAACAACTGGACCGGGGTCGGTAACATGGCAACCAGCTGACTAATGATACAATCTCTTATTTTAAGTAAGAGGATTATACATCTGTTCCTTTAATATCAGCTTGACTTTCTCCTTATAGATAGATGATATACACACAAACATTTTAGCAAATTTTTGGTAATTATTGTACTTGTTGGCATGAAAAAGTACATATGCTGATTCAAGGAAAAGGCGGCAAGACAGATGTTTTCTTTAGGTTATTGAACTTACAATCGGCCTACACTTCACCAGGCCACCGATGGTCTTCGGCATTCCTGGCACTGTGCTGGAGGCTGGTGGAATCTAAAAGATGGATGCCCCTGACTTTGACTTGGAGCACGCTTGCGGCAAGGACAGACGATTCTGGAAACGTGACTGACCAAAGGAGCCCAAAGCAGGAGGGAAGGGAGTGAGGTGAGCAGGCACCCAACGTGCCATCTCGTCACGGGTGTGAAAGCCCACTCTGACTCACCCTCGTAGAATGTGAAGGAGCTGCTTGATGCCTCCCCAGATGCGAATTTCCACACTGGCCTCGGGGTCCTCACACACCTGGACCAGAATCCAGACAACGCTCCAGAGCAGCTTCAGGTGGTCAGAGTGCAGCAGGCTGAGCAGGATGGGGATCCCCTCGTAGAGCTTCACCTGCGCCTTCACCTGGGGCTCGGCACAGAGCAAGCGCAACAGCTCCGCGGTTAGCCTGGAAGGGGCCAGGGAGGGCGGGGCAGAGAGTCACAGCCTCGTGAGGCAGCCACTTCGTGTTAGACTGAATCTGTCATCCCTGCACGGACTGTAACATCTTCTAAGTCACGGTCAACATGCATTTTCTGTGAAGGGCCAGAGAGAAGCCAAATGCTTTCAGTTTGGCTAACTGTATGATCTGTCACCACCACGGACAACTCATAGAAATGAATGATCATGCCTGTGTCACCACAAAACTTTATGCACAAAAACAAGCGATGGGTCACACTTAGCCTGTGGATCATAGTTTGCCGACCACTGTTCCAAGTCATATCCTCACTGTGTCCTCATTGGTCTGGTTAAAAACCTACTGACCAGCAGTAGGTATCAAGTTCAGACAATGACAGCCACATTGTACTAAAGATAAAAGAAATATAAGTCTTATTCCAGCACTCAGAAGCTTTCCCCATGATTGCAAAAATAAGACACTCATGGAATATGTCAAAACACTGAAATGCAAGGGAAGTCAGTGCACGGTGCTCCCTTAGCATATATCAGTGCAAAGTGCCAGCTAATAATTACTCAGTGCACAGTGCTTGGTTACCATATACTCAGTGTCAAGTGTTCAGTTTCTGTTTACTCAGTGCACAGTACTTGGTGACTATATTCTCAGTGCACAGTGCTCAGTTACTATTTACTCAGTGTACAGTACTCCATGACTATATTCTCAGTGTACAGTACTCAGTTACTATTTACTCAGTATACAGTACTTGAAGACTATATTCTCAGTGCAAAGTGCTCAGTTACTATTTACTCGGTGCATAGTACTCAGTTACTATACTCTCAGTGCAAAATGTTCAGTTAATAATTACTCAGTGCACAGTATTCAGTTACTATATTCTCAGTACACAGTGCTCAGTTACCATTTACTCACTGCACAGTACCTGGTGATTGTATTCTCAGTGCAAAGTGCTCAGTTACTGTTTACTTGGTGCATAGTACTAAGTTACCATACTCTCAGTGCATAGTGCTTGGCTACTATTTACTCAGTGCACAATACTCGGCTACTATACTCTCAGTGCACAGTGCTCAACTACTATTTACTCAGTGCACAGTACCCAGTTACTATATCCTCAGTGCAAAGTGCATAAACATGGCAGTGAAGACATGAGATTCAGCAGAGCCATGCAACATGATGACAATCAGTGTTTCAAGGAATCATCCTTAGTCCTCCAGTCTCACCCTCTAAACACTCTCCCCTGGATGGTGTCTTGTAGTTGTCCACTCCCATGGCTTCAAACCCTCTACTTTGTCATCATGACCTTAGCTCAGGCACCGCTCCTAACCTCCAGAAGTCCTAGCCACGTGGATGTCCACATGGACTCACCACACTACCTCCAAACTCAAAGTCATTATCCTCCTCCTCAGATATGTTCTTTTTCTTGCATGCCTGATCTTGACTCATGGCACCACAGTCTTTTCAATGTTCCAAGCCAGATGCTTGGGAGTCACCAAGACACTCTCTTCTCTTTCTGTACACCACCACTGCCCATCAAGAGCTCTTAGTGACCAGGCATAGTGGTTCATGCCTGAAATCCCAGCACTTAGAAAGACTGAGGCAAAAGGATTGCCTGAGCCCAGAAGTTTGAGACCAGCTGGGCAACTTGGTGAGACCTCATCTCTACAATAAATCAAAAAATTAGCCAAGTGTGGTGGTGCACACCTGTAGTTCTAGCTACTTGAGAGGGTGAGGTGAAAAGAACACCTGAGCCCAGCAGGTTGAGGCTGCGGTAGCTGTGATTTTGCCACTGCACCCCAACCTGGGTGACAGAGTGAGATTCTGGGGGAAAAAATGGAATGTTTAGTGTCTCCGATTTCCCTATTTCCTGAGCAACTGCTGGGGTTAATTCTCTTGAGCGTCAGGTGTCTAGCCGGCCCCACTGTTGCTCCCAACCTTGTGATCCTTGACCGTGCTCAAGACATAACCCCCTTTCATCTGCCTCTCCAAAAGTCCATTCTTGTACTGCTTCCCATTCCTTCCCTCTTAACCGATTTTCCATGGCTCCTGTCCCTCCCCAGTCGTCTGCTCTGACACTAAGAACACAAGTTCTTTGGTGAACAGTATTCTTTATCTTCACGAACTTTCTACATAAACATTCCTCAGTGGATCTCAACGTGTGGATATGTCCCACCCTCCACCCCACCCCTGTAAATGCTGCTATCAGAGTGATCTTTTCAAAAAATATAAATCTAGGTCAGGCACAATGGCTCATGCCTGTAATCCCATCACTTTGGGAGGCCGAGGTGGGAGGATTACTTGAGCCCAGGAGTTTGAAACCAGCCAAGGCAACATAGTGAGACCTTGTGACTACAAAAAAAAAATCAACAAATTATCTGGGTGTGATGGTGTGTGCCTGTAGTCCCAGCTATTTGAGAGGCTGATGTGGGAGGATCGTTTGGCCCAGGAGATCAACGCTGCGGTGAGCTGTGATCGCACAACTGCACTCCAGCCTGGACAACAGAGTGAGACCCCGACTCTAAATAAATATTTGATCGTGCTTAAAATCCTTCTGTGAGTTCCCATAATGTTCCTCTTTATTTAGCATGCGGAGCACATCCTGAGCTGGATGAAGGTGCCTTGTTGCCTCCTCTATAAAATATGGAAATAATAGGGTTGCTGTGCGGATCCCATGAGTCAGTGCACAAAGGGACACAGAGCAGGTCCTGGTATACAGAAGGCAACGTTAACTGCATTTCTAGCTTATCGGTGACTGTCCACTCTAGTTTTCTGGCACTTCCTCACTTTGCCCCGGCTGTGCCCAGCCACGCACATTCTTCCAACACACCCAGTGTCATGCTTCCATGTTGGGGCATATTCTGCTATCACTAGTTCTCTCCCTCAGCCTGCATATCCCCTCTTCTCCAGGACGGCTGGCCTGACCCCTCGTTCTGATTAGAAGGGCTCTGCTCTGGGTTCCCAGAGCACCCCATATGTACCCACCTACGCTCTGCTCACCGCGTGGGCTGTGCCTCCCTGCACGGCACACACTGTAGCTTACTCATCTTCAGTTTCCAACACCTGGTGCGGTTTGGCTCCTTGTTTGTTGGGTGAATGAGTTCAGATAACCAAGTCTACAAGTATATTGATTCTCATCTATATTTAATGCTCTTGTAAAAGCATTAAATGCTCTTTCCTGTTAAAAGAGCATTAAATCAGCTCTGAAGAAGAATCTGAAAAGACTTACTATGAGCCAAGTGTAAGGGTGCCATTGCTTGCGAATGGAGCAGTGGTATCTATTCTGCCTCTTTAAAAAATTATAATTAGGCCAGGCACAGTGGCTCGTGCCTATAATCCCAGCACTTTGGGAGGCCGAGGTAAGAGGATTGCCTGAGCCGATTGCTTGAGCCCAGGGGTTTGAGACCAGCCTGGGCAACTTGGTGAGACCTCATCTCTACAATAAATCAAAAAATTAGCCAGGTGTGATGGCATGCACCTGTAGTTCCAGCTACTTGGAAGGTTGAGGATCACCTGAGCCCAGCAGGTCCAGGTTACGGTGGCCATGAGCATGCAACTGCACTTCAGCCTGGGCTACAAAGTGAGACTCCAACTCAAAAAAAAAAAGATAATTTACAGAACTCAACAGCACATGATGTAGATTTAAACACAACTATATTTAAACACCATCTGGCTGGACGTGGTGACTCACACCTGTAATCTCAGCACTTTGGGAGGCTGAGGCAGGAGGATTGCTGGAGCCCAGGAGTTCAAGACCAGCTTGGACAACATAGCGAGACCTCATCTGTATAAAAAAATCAAAAAATTAGCCAGACATAGTGGCGCATGCCTGTAGTCCCAGCTTCTTGGGAGACTAAGATGGAAATATCACCTGAACCCAAGAGGTCCAGGTTGTGGTGAGCTGTGACCGTACTCAAACCAGCAGAGTGAGATGCTGACTCAAAAAATTAAAAAATTATTCAAGCAAACATAATCTAAAACCTTCTGGATACAGTGATTCTTTAGAACAATATGTAGTTCAAGTGAAAATAAATCAATTCTCCTTTAGATTTTATTTTGAGTTATTGTAGCAGGTGGTCACAAAACCAATCCGTAGCTAACTTAATTTCTTGTACTTGTCTTAAGCCAAATGAATTTTAGCAATCTAACTATTTATTGCACACACAATTTGAAATTACTAAAAACAAAGCCACCTTAGTTTGTTTCCCTAAAATGGTGACATGTAAATAAATGCAATAAACAAAAACATTAGAGATGACATCATAAGACTTATTTCCTTAGAATTGATGCCCAGATATTGAAGTAATGGAGGACTAAAGATAAAGTAATATACTTCTTTGCTGTAGCAAAGAGTTAAATACAGTTATACAGAAAATAAATGCCAAGTTGACTCATAAAAATTAGTTACAATATAAATAACATGACATAATAAAAACAATAAGCCTCTGTATCAAACAAAAGACATTGTCTTTTACCCCTGTGAGCAAGCCTACCTTTTGGAAAGCAAGTCGTATTCATGTAAAATCATCAACAGATTTTCTACAACGTTGAGTTCACTTATCTTCTCCCTACACTCTGGACTATAATTTGAAAAATATTAGCAGCTACTAAAAACATATTTTACTATGTGCACTTATTTGATATCCTACCCCTTATATTATAATCAGAAGAAGAGATTTTTTTAAAACCAAAGGAATCATATGCTGTTCACAAAAAAAAGCAATGATCCACTGACTGACAAAAAAATATATTTAAAGCTCTTTTATTCAAAATAATCATGGTACCTTGAACAGTTATCATAATACTATAAGAAAAGGATTGGCAGTAGCGGGAAACTGCCAGGAGGGGAGCGGTGAAGTGGTATTAGCAGTAGTGGGAATCTGCCTGGAGAAGTGGGGGGTACACCTCATCAACAAGGATAGCTGCATAATGAACATTTGTATACCTAACCCTGAATTGTACCCCACATCTTTAAAATTAAAAAAATCAAAAGAAAAAAATAATAATCATGATATCTATAAGATGATAGATGTTCTAAGAATTTATTTAAAGGCCACCAATGTTGGAAAATGTTTTGTATATTAAAATAAACACACAGGTAAGAATAAATTAAGAAAGTCAGGGAGATTCAACTGCCAAAGAAATATTACGGTAATTTTGAAAGTAGAAGTAATTAAAGAGTAAATGAAAAGACCAGGCAAATATTTCTGATCAGGAAGAAAAGAGAATTTAACATTGTGATTTGTCTTTCCAACTTGGATTTTAAAATGATGCTTTCTAGCCAGGATCCTCTGCAACAGATAAGTATTATTTTACACTTATTTTTCAAAAATGAGTACTGACTAGGTGACAAAGTAAATGATATATTTTGCATTCCTCCCATTGAAATTGCTATCACAGCAGAACTGGAAAGTATATGAAATACACAACTCACCTTTCCGCTAAACTAGCCAGAGCCAAGAGAGAACCCAACAGAACATTAGTGTCCCGGGCACCAAGTAAATTTACTAATGTCTGAAAAATAAAGTAAAACAAAGTTTGATTATATAAGTACCACAATCTTCTTGAATGATATAATGCTACCTTCTCCAGATTATGGAGGCTTAATCTTTTTTTTTCTTTGCCCAGTATTTTATAATGCATGTGCATCTATAATTAAGTGCAAACTATATACAAATTTAAAGCTGATCTTTTGAATTTTTTCCTAACATTATCCTCCACTGACATTTTCCATGGCATTAAATATATCTTTATAAACATTATCTTTTGTCAATATAATTAAATTATTCATTATACTATGGCTTTACTTACAGAATAATGAAACATGTCATGCCCTCTTGAGCCTTATGGAGTTTAGTTCAGTTTACTTTTTGCAGTTAGTATAGAGGCTTAACCTTAAAAGGAATCTCATGATTCATCAGACTCACATAGTGAGATCCCCATCTCTACAAAAAAATTTTTAAAAATCAGCCAGGCATGGTGGCACACGCTTGTAGTCTCAGCTACTCAGGATTCAGGAAGTTGAGGCAAGAGGATCACTTGAGCCCAGGCAGTCAAGGCCACAGTGAGCTAGGATTGTGCCACTGCACTCCAGACGGAATGTCAGAGCAAGACGCTGTCTCTTTAAAAAAAAAAATTAAAAGATCCAGTTCTTTACTGGGACCTGGTGTCCATCTCCTCCTTTCTTTGGAACTCTTGAGAGTAGCTCCTTGTAGCCATTCCTTGCCCGGCAGAGGAAACATAATGTTTCCCATATCCCAAGCTCCACGGCCAGTCTGGCTCCCATGCTTCCCTCTCTTTCATGCTCCTAGGCATTCTGCTCCACCCTTTCTGACCCCACTCAGGAAAGAGTAGGGAGATAATGACATGAGTTATCATATTGGTACTGACTCACTCTGAGCCAGGTGTTGGGCTAGGGACTTTCCCAATTACGGAACTATTTTTCCACAAAATGTTAACACTTTCCTTCTTCTCAAAGTGAGCAAGATGTGTCAACACCCATGCAGCCTTCCATTCGCTCTCAGATTTCTAACTGATGGTGAAAGTGCACCATCATGCTCCAAAGCCCCCTCCCAATAACACGACCTAGCTGGCGTCTTCTGTGTCCTGTTGATAGTCTTCCTTGAATTCTCATCCATGAAAATTCTCATATCTTCTCTCTACATTTTCAGAACTCAGAGGCCCCCAGAAAATACACTCCCCAAGTCTCCCAGGCCAGGGCTGCGACCCATGCAGTGACACACTTTTGGTTTCCATGCTGAAGATTTTTTCACCTTATGATTTCAGTATTTAATGAAGCTATCATTACCTTTTTTCTTCACTTTTTTTTTCTCTCTCTCTGCCTTCTAACATAATGTTTCCCATATTCAGTCGCCAGCCTATTATTTTCACAATTTTTGCCATGTTCACTTAACACCTTGTTGCTAACCCAAAAATTTTCTTCGAGTCCTAAGCAATAATGTCTGTGAAATAGATGGCTAGTGACATGGGAAGCGTTGACCTGGATATCACCTGAAATCACCCCTAGACGACGAGCCATATATGTGGCACATTCCAGGTAACTGCTCTCAGAGGCACCAGAAAGTGGCTTCCTGGGATTTGAGGACTCAGCAGGTGACTGAAACTTGACTCTATGTGGCTGCAATCTAAACAGCTTTGCCACAAATGTAAGCTAAGTCTGTTTTGATTAAACCTGCATTCATCCATCTTATAACGAATGTGGGAGCCATATACTTGTAATGCTACACCATCTTACTAGGAGGTTGGACCCTACAAAATCGTCTTCCTGGAGTCAATCATTTTTGATCTACAGACAATGGTAATCACACGTGGTTCAAAGTAATTATGGCCCCATATGCCATAATTATATGTGTACATATATACATTTTGTTTATTTATGTTTATTTACATATACATATAGATCTAGAGTCAGTTTATATAGAGAGTGCCAAAAAATGTATACACATTTTAAAAAAGAAAAAAACTGTGTTAATACCATAATACTCTATATATACTCATAACAAAAGATGAACACAAGTCACATTTGACTCCTGCAATTACGAGAGGTGTTCAAAGTGGTTATCATCAGCATTCAGACACTTCTGATTACAGTGAACTAAAAGTAATACATAGATAACATCGCTTAAAATGTGTATACATTGTTTTGGCACGCCCAGTATGGCCTGCGTTTTCCAAACAACGTTCAAATTAAGCAATAAACTTAGCTGGCATTAAACGGTATATGAAAAGAGAACAGAGTTCCAGGAAACTTGTATTGACTACGTCTCTATTAACCTGTTAGGCTGGAAAGAATATGAAAGGGCTGGCAAGGAGTCACAGTTTTAGAGGCCAGGTTGGCAGGTTTGTGACTCAAGATACACGTGGGTTGGCCACAAAGGCTCTGAACTTCCGCATGGGAAGTGTGTGGCACAGAAGCTTTAACACTTTCACGGACCACTCACCTTGTGGGCTCCACTTGCGGTGACCCATTCTCTTTGGTCTCTGACAGCAGCAAGTTTTTGGAAAATATCTGTAAGGGAAGGACATAACTCAGAGAGGGGGCTGGAGATTAAAGGGGGCAGAACTCACAGTGCCTCAGGCCAGCAATCCTAACACACAAGCAAGGAAAGGGCAAAGAGAACAGACAAAAAAGAACAAGGAGGGAGGAGGGGCAGGATTCTTTTTTTATCCCAAGAATGACCCCTCGGGCTCAGCTAGTACTTATTTGATCATATTACCATTAGAGTGAACTGTGGAAATAGCAAAAAGAGGCAAACCTCTCCACCCACTTAAAGCTGAACAAGTTCCTTAACCATTACAGTTTCAAGGGGAGGCCTGCTCCCCAAAGAGGACCTGCTCCCCAAAGAGCCCAGCAAGCATCTTCGGCTGAGGGCCACAGTTGTCCTCAAGAGACTTCCTGGTGCCCAGGGCGTGCCACTGATGCTTCTTTCCCTGGGCCCGAGAGTCAGCGAGGCCTCTGCAAACATGGGGGCCCAAACCGTCCACACAGAGAAAACAGGCTAGCAACCCACAACAGCTGGAGGTCTGTGGCTACTCAGACCTGAGGGCAGGAAGGAGGGGCTGGAAAGAGCCTCCCAAGAGAAAAGACCAAGCAACTACAGAGCGTCTGGCACCCACAGACCAACGTGTCCACATAATCCTCAGACGAGGAGGGTTGTTGCTATTGTTTTTTTGTAGGCTCTGAATGTTCCAGATTCCATGACGTAGGTATTAACCCAATTTGACAAATAAAAACTGAATCATCTCTGATATTTTAATAGAGGTCAAATAAGGCAAACTTTTTTTTTTTTTGGAGTTAGAGTCTCACTCTGTTGCCCAGGCTGGGGTGCAGTGGCACACTCATGGTCACCGCAACCTCAACCTGCTGGGCTCAGGCAATCCTTCCAAGGAACTGTAACTACAGGCGCGCACCACCACACCTGGCTAATTTTTTTGATTTACAGTAGAGACGAGGTCTCACCAAGTTGCCCAGGCTGGTCTTGAACCCCTGGACTCAGGCAATCCTCTCACCTTGGCCTCCCAAAATGCTGGGATTACAGGCTTGAGCCACCACACCCAACCTGAGGCAAACTATTTTTACCAAAATTTGCTTCTACAGAAGCCTCTCTTGCATTAAACAAAATGTGCTTTTCAGGGTAAGAGTTGTAATCCCAAAAATCTTCATTCTGGAAATAACAGATACTGAAGAGAAAGGAAAAAAATGGGGAGGGCAGTTAGGGCCAGGAGTTACCTGCCGGGTACAAGGTTCACTATCTGGAGAATGGGCCACCTGAAGCCGCACCGCCATCCGTGTACGTAATAGGTCCATGCAACAAACATACAAAGGGGCCCCCAAAAAGAAACAATTATCTTCTGGAGGACAGACCCCTTGTACTAAAGGTTTCCCCTGCTAGGTGAGTGTTCTAGCAACACATCGGCATCAGTGGACCAGCTCGTGTTGTTGTGAAAGGCGGTGTTCAGCTTCCATTTTTTTGTTTTTTTGTTTTTGAGATTCTTTCAGCATATTTGCCCACCTCATGATGGGTGATTTACGAGGGAACCTGCCCACACCCTGCTGAGTGTTCAGCAGTTTTTGACCAACAATGACGTGACCTCCATGCCTTCCCTTTCCCTATCCACTTGATCCTGCCCCAAGAAACGTTTTTGTTGTTGTTGTTCCAGGGATGAAAAAAGTCCTCAAAGGGAAACGTTTTGCCAATGTGGAAGAGGTGAAACAAAAAACAGCAGAAGCACTAAAAGGCATCAAAATGGACGAGTTCAAACCATTGCAAGCTGTGGGAAAAGCATCTCAATAAGTGTATTGCATCAAATGGCGAGGACGCTGAAGGTGACTGAAGTCTAAACACATAAGAATAAATACACAATTTTTTATAAACGAATTCTGGATTTTTGAGGACCTCCCCATACACTTGTACCCCTTGAATCTAAAACAAAAAAAATTTAATTGTACATTAAAAAAATATTAGTAAAGTCAGTGTAAAAGATGTTTTGGCTGGGCACAGTGGCTGTAATCCCAGCACTTTGGGAGGCTGAGGTGAAAGGATTGCCTGAGTCCAGGGGTTCAAGACCAGCTTGGACAACTTGGCAAGACCTCATCTCTACAATAAATCAAAAAATAGCCAGGCGTGGTAGTGTGCGCCTGTAGTTCCAGCAACTTTGAAGGCTGAGGCGGAAGGATCACCTGAGCCAGCAGGTGGAGGTTGCAGTGGCCGTGAGTATGTCACTGCACTCCAGCCTGGGTGACAGAGTGAGACTCTGACTCAAAAAAAAAAACACATACTCTGGGTATGTTTTACCACTGAATGCAACAGTTGGCATGGATTCTCAACGGTCTGTGTGTGGGAACCTTAATAAATATTTAAAGCATCCTTCCTTCCTGCTGCAAACACCATGCTGCTTATTCTAGAAGCCACAAAGTCGACTATGTCCCGACGACGGCGCTCACACGTCATGTTGACCAGCTTGTCCACACTATGCTGCTCTTCTCCGTAGCCGAGGTACTCATTGGCCACCACCTCCATGTACTGCAGGAAGGACCAAACCAACAGCCAGTTAGAGGGAGGACCCCAAAAGCACCCGAGAGGGTGAGGCGAGCAAGGGTGGTGCAGTTCTTAAAGCGGGCTGCAGGTGGCACAACAGATTCACCAAATAATCCTCAGGGCGCCTCTGGGGCTGATTCGCTCAAAATTTGGGTTTCTGAATTCTTTGCCTTCTTTTGCGTGCTCTGAAGTTGCGGGAGGGACCAGCTAAAAACAGCACTCCCAAAAGTCTCAACATGACTCACTTGTAACCAAATAAGTGTGTTGAGACATTTAGGATCCAAATACAAGATACATACAAGAGACAGAAATATAGAGTACATAGAAATTGAATTCTTCAATGTACTTTTTTAAGTAGAATTTTGATAACACATTGCATATATTTTATTGACCTTCTGTTTTATAATATCAAAATTATATCTAGCTTGCCTACATGCAGTTAGCAATAATCAGAATAAAATGGGTATGGGAGAGGCTGATAATTCCCACCATGGATAATTCATTATAATGAGAAACAGGCTCGGAGAAACATACATAATTTCTGGCATTCAAATGGAAGTTAAAGTGGATAAAAAACATCCTTTACAATGTGATCTTATGAAAGATCATTTCATTAAATGAGGCAAGCATCCAGCCAATTTTTTAAAAATCTTAAAAACAAAACAAAATATGAATCAATTTCCTAAGAACAAGAATATTATAAAATAAAATAGGGTTAATGTTATCTTGCCATAAACTCAACCTTCCATTAATAATTCAGAATTACCTGGCAGGCTCACATGTTTATTATGAGACAGTCTTTCTGTCTGCACTATAGGTTTGAGGAGACTGGGTTTGACACCATGACCAGAAATATCGTTTCATGGTATTAATAATTGCAAGCCTCTGAGTTGCTCGGCATATATTTTCACCTGTTTCTCCTCCCTCAGTAGTTAGTTAGCAAAGAAGAAAAATCAGTGGAGTCAAGATGGTCCCTTACTTTATCCTGTACTTATTAGTGTTTTAGTGGACATCGTAGTTCTTTTTGTGTGTGAAAAAGTTTTGAACAGCTAACCCGTTCACTTCCATCACATGGCACGCACAAAGCCTGCCAGCCAGTGTCTATTTTGTATAATTACTAGCTGGAGACGTGTGACCTTGTATAGCACTTTCTCGTTTCAATAGGCAGAGGAAAGCAAGTTCAATTAGCCAGGACAAAATGTCATGGCCCCTCCCTGCCCTGTGAGAACTGTGACCCAGCCCATCTGCTCCGCCCATGACAGGCAGCACGACATAGCAAGGCCATCTTCTGCCACACATGTGTTTAATTCTAGTTCGGGGCATGGCACAAAATGAAAAGGCAAGACCAGACACCACCAAAGGAATCTTACCTGAGCCAGGTTTTCGATCCCACCCAACCTATGGAGTATTTCCTGATGAAATAAAAACAACAGAACACATATAAAAAATGAGGGTGGAGGGGGGAAAGTATGTTTTATACACAACTTCTTTGTTAAGACTTAAGATTTATAATTAGTTTTTAAAGGTCCACATCCTTACATAATATGAAAAATTTAGTGCTTGTCATTCATGCTACATTTAAGAAAAACTGTTAATAAACATCAAAGTTTGGTTCAGACTTAGAGAAAGAATATGTGCTCAGAACTGCAGTCTTTCTTCTTCTTCTTCCTCCTCCTCCTCCTCCTCCTCCTCCTTCTTCTTCTTGTTTTGTTTTCTTTTGAATCAGGACCTCACTCTGTTGCCCAGGCTCGAGTGCAGTGACACAATCACAACTTGCCACCAGCCTCAACCTCCTAGACTCGGGTGATCCTCCCCCCTCAGCCTCCTGAGTGGCTGGGACTACAGGTACGTGCCACCATGCCTAGTTAATTTTTTCATTTTTATTTACATATTTATTTATTTTTACTTATGTTGCCAAAGCTGGTCTCGAACTGCCAGGCTCAAGTGATCCTCCTGCCTCTGCCTCCCGAAGTGCTGGGATTACAGACATGAGCCATGGGCACCCGGCCATGCCTCTTTCGATGTCATCACAGAGCTGAGAAGAGCCATTAGATACCATTCCATTCCACCCTCTCATGATACAGAGGAGGAAAATAAGGACCAGAGAGATAAACCATCTGGTCTACCTGGCAAGCTGGGATGAGGCTAACATTCTCAAACTCCAGGACCAACTTGTCCTCTAAGTCTCTGCCTAGGGTAGTCCAGGGACTGGCGGCATCACCTGGAAGCGGATGCGAAATGAAGAATCTCCTTCCCAGCCCAGACCTGCCTAATCCTAGGCTGAGATTCAGCAAGATCTCCAGGTCACTGGAACCTGCAAGTGCAGTTTGAGAAACATTGCCCTTGGAGAACAGGAGCTTCTCCTTACATTTATCAGGCTATGGGCTTATGAAACCCAAACTCTACAGAAATGTAAGGATGATCTCTGCACAATGTCTCCTGGTACAGGACTGTTCTTTTGTTTGGGATTTTTTTTGGAGTCAGGGTCTTACTCTGTCACCCAGGCTGGAGTGCAGGGGCACGATCATGGCTCATCGCGGTCTCAACCTCCTGGGCTCAGGCAGTTTTTCCACCTCAGCCTCCCCAGTAGCTGGAACTATAGGTGCATGCCACCACTCCTGGTGCTTTTTTCTATTTTTTCATAGAGATGAGGTGTAATTATGTGGCCTGGGGTGCTCTCGAATTCCTGGGCTCTGGTGATCCTCCTACCATGGCCTCCCAAAGTGCTGGGATTACAGGTGTGAGCCACCATGCCCAGCCAAGTGATACAGGACTTAAAATCCAATTCCCAATAAGTAGACATTTCATTATACTTCTGAAACTGCCGGGAAAGTGCTAATTTGGGAAGAGAGGGTGGGAGGTCGGAGTTGTGAAGGGGCGAGTCTGGAACTCTGCTCACAGTAAGTGCTCTTGGGATGTCCACGTTGGCATTTATCTGCAGGCAAATGTTCCCAGGTGGCCTTAACTGTTTAATTATAGCTGTATCGACATCTCTCTCCTTACTTAACATGCACACAAGGAAGTTATTTGAAATATAAACATTGGCCATCACTTCAGTTCTGGGAAATTCACAGGGACAAGTACATGAGCGTGAGAGAGAGCAGTCTAACTGTGCTATGAAGCCAAGCGGATGGGCTGGGAAAAAGGCGGGCCCTCAAAGCCTCCTGAGTCAAGGTTTCTTTACTCTGTGGGAAGTGGATTTGGAAACACTGAACACACTGTTGTCTAAATTAAGTGAAAAGAAACACATAGAACTCAAATTAAAAATAGTTCTATGATTAATCTCCTCATATAAAGCCTCATCAATACTGTTTATGCTAGAGAAGCTATAATTAGAGAACATAAAAATGCTGTATACACGGTCCGCATTTATGATAGGATGTTTTATACATATAAAAATAATTTAAAACCACTGGTAGCTGTTCAACAATTTTTTTTTTTTCATTCCTGCAGTGTGAAAGCACTGAGCTAGGCTCTGAAGAGGACACAAATATGGAGATGGCAGGGGCCCGCTTCACTGGGCTTTAGATAAGCCCAAGGTAGGTGTACCAATAACTAGAATGTAAGACTGCATGAGATAAATGTTTACGTATATATGCATGAAGTGTTATGGTGGACTCCAGGAGGGACACCTCATTTCCTGCTGAGATGACTGAGAGAAACTTCACATGCGTGGTGGTCGCGGAATGAGATTGGAAGGATGAATGGTCTGCTGTGCAGAGATGGGGGGATGGTAAAAAATAAAAGAGATTCCAGACAAAGAAAATGGCAGGCTCAAAGGTGCACAGAGATTATAAAGACAAAACATCGAGACATTCTGGGACTCTGAGGAAAGCTGTTCCATAGCTCCATGAAAGTTGTTATCAAAGAAAGGGTTAGAAATTTGGGGTGGGATCAGACTGTGGGAGGACTTAGCTGTGAGCCTGAACTTGAACTTTTTCATGCAGGTCATGAAACCTCTGTGAAAACGTGTGAATGAGAGACTGGTCAGACCAGTTGAATCTAAAAACAAACTAAAGAAAGAAAGTGTTATCAACTGGGAGCCCAGCCTGGAGTCAGTGGCAGCGAAATAAAAATGGAGAGAAAAGGTTAGCCTTTGAAGTGATGTAATCAACTGGATGTGAAGTCAGACTGGAAGAACAGGAGCTAAGTAGAAGACGTCAGCCTATTTGAACGTGGTTGGCTGGGAACAATGACACGATTGACCCACAGAGGGAAGGAGAGAGGAACAGAGTGAGTTAGAAGAGAAGACTCAGAGGTGGACATACTGAGGTGCCGAGGGGATGTCCAGGTGCAAAAAGGACAACAGGCCATGGAACATGAGGTGAGGGCAAAAGACTGAAGTCACAGAGAAGGAGGTTCAAAATTGAGGCGTGAGAGAAGGAAGACACCAAGGGAGGGAATGTTTAAATGACTGGTCATAGTAATGTTACTTTTAAATGTGTACCCTGACAAGAAATGTATCACCAATAATTTTAATCATATAAAACTAAGTTTCCCTAGCCACATCCCAAAAACAGTTGTTTTATTTTGTACAGTAGATGAATTAGGCATTCTATACCCCCACTCCACCCCCAAAAAGAATGTTATGAGCAAATCAACTTGGGAAACACTGGGTTAACAAATCCCCTCCCCCCTTTTTTTTTGAGTTGGAGTCTCACTCTGTCACCCAGGCTGTAGTGCAGTGGCACGCTCACAGCCACCACGGCTTCGGTCTGCTGGGCTCAGGCGATCCTTCCACCTCAGGCTTCCAAGTAGCTGGAACCACAGGCATGCACCACAACGCCTAGCTAATTTTTTGATTTACTATAGAGATGAGGTCTCGCTAAGTCGCCCAGGTTGGTCTCAAACCCCTGGGCTCAGGCAATCCTCTCGCCTTCGCCTCTCAAAGTGCTAGGATCACAGGCGTGAGTTGCCGCACCCAGCTAGATTTAACAAATTCTTTATCTCAGGACTCCTCCGAGTCTCTAATATACCGCAAGGAACAAACTAGTGTGTCACTTTTCCGGAACATCACTAACCAGACCATGCTTCTTTCCACAGAGCATGTGTTACTCCCATGAGACGGTTTGAGCAGTGCTGCTACAAAGGGTAGGAATGGGGAACAGGCTTTCTCAGGCTTAGAGAATGCTATAGTTACAGACTCAAGAACTGAACCTCCATCCGTGGTATCAACACTTTCCTTCCATTCCCCTGCAGAGAGCAGGGCAAGGCCAGGAGATGGCTCACAGTCCACAATCTTCCCTGGGTTTCCTCTCCTTACACCAGTGGGACTGTACTAACCCAAGAGTGTCAACTGAAGAAAATCATGACTGCAAGGCATGTATACACCTGGGTTTTACAGTTCTGACTACTGATCTGAAAAGCAAACATGACTGCAAGCTTGGATCACAGCAATGCCTCCTGTATGCCCATTAAGACATCAACATTTTCCCAGGTCCCCGTCATAGGCCAGAGGGTCAGAAAACTGGGTTCTATGCTTCTGAGCCTACTGGCCTGGAGAAAGTCTCCTTGTCAATCTAAACTTCAGTTCAGTCTGTGAGATGTGACCGATGTCCATGCTTGCTCCCTGAGAGTTTCCTTTTTTTATATATATATATATATATATATAATACTGGTTTAAAAAAAAAAGTATGTTTTTAAAAAATGGAGTACATTATGCCAATATATGGAGGGGTATTAACACATTATTATTACTATTACTATTATTGTTATTATTATTATTATTGAGTCAGAGTCTCACTCTGTCACCCAAGCTGGAGTGCAGTGGCATGGTCATGGTTCACTGTAGCCTGGGCTCAGGCAATCCTCCCACCTCTGCCTCCTGAGTAGCTGGGACTACAGGCATGTGTCACCATACCTGACTAATTTTTTTTTTTTTTTGGTAGAGACAAGGTCTCCCTATGTCGATCAGGATGGTCTCAAACTCCTGGGCTCAAGCAATCCTCTCTCCTCAGCCTCCCAGAGTGCTGGGATTACAGGCATGAGCCATCACGTCCAGTCTCATTATTTTTACCATGGCCAAAAACATTATTTCCATTCAGGGGCTCTCATGCCAAGACTAATCAGCAACTAAGTGAATGAATGCTGCATACATTGCAGTGACCTTCAACACCGAATCACTAACAAGATCATTTTCCTCCTGCACTCAGAAATCATCAGTGGCTCCACATTGCTTATTCATTGGTCAAAACTTAATGCTCCTATATGAACTGGCTACTTTACTTATGTTTCTAAGTATAATAGTAATTACTCTTCTAACAGGCTTGGTATATTAGATTTGTAAGGCAGTTAGGAAAAGGGAAGTATAAGAGATGGTTCTAAAGTTTTCTTCCCTGAGTCTGAGGAAAAATGACACCATAAAAGAATCAGGAGCCGGGCTCGGTGGCTCAGCCTGTAACCCCGTGCTTTG